TTCGTTCTGCTGTGCATGGGGTCGCTATGAGTCGGAAACGACTCGACGGCACTTAACAACAACAACAACAACAACTGGCAAAACACAAATTTTGAAATTTTAAGTTATATATTAATTTACTATATGCTAGGAAAAACCTAACTAGTCCATCAAAACCATGACTTCACAGATATTATTTCTTAAGGGACTAAAGTAGGCAATTAAATTACAAATGTCAATTTAAAGAAATAAAAGGTGGTACAAGGTTGTGGTAAAATCCATGAAGATAGTTTGTGAATGAATGAAGTAAGGAAAACATTGGATTAATGCATTAATTTTTGAACATGTTTTGATGAATTTTTCTAATGAATTAGTTTTTAAAACTATTTTGATGAATTTTTTAATGATAACTCCAAAGGAGCACTGAGAGAGCTACTTTGTGATACTTTAAACAAATGCTTATGTTTTAACTCTAAATGTCAACACTTGAATGAACTTTGGTGGATAACATCCTAAAATTAAAAAAAAAAAAAAAACCCTGAAATTTTAGAATATACTACTGAATATCTTATACTGTAGAGTATCTGGACATTTAATAAAAATATACTTACTTTTTTTAAAAATGCTAAGAGCTCAACAGTATATGTTGTTGTTATGTGCCGTCGAGTCGGACTTGACTCATAGCGACCCATCCTTTGGGTTTCCGAGGCAATATCACTACAGAAGTAGATTGCCCCATCTCCCTTCCGAGGAGTGGCTGGTGGATTTGAACTGACAGCCTTCTGGTTAGCAGTGACATGCCTTTAGCCACTATGTTACCAGAGCCTTAGGCACTCCTCAACAGTATATTCACAACACAAATTAGTGTACCAATATCTGCACACCTCTAAGTGCACTGAAAAAGTGACCCTGCAAAGCTGAAGACAAGCCCTTGAACCAGGGGATGCCCTTGACATTCTGTGTCTGGGTGCAGCCCTCCTGAATGAACTTTACCTCCTCAAATGCCATCTCTAGTACATTCCTCTCTATTATGTATCCCTTATCAAGATGTGTAGCCTGCACACAAGGAAGAGTTAAACCAAATTTGAAAAAATAAAACAACAACATATATCTGTACTCTGGCATTCTCATAACCTAGAAAAAATTATGGAGTGCTAATTTTATTTGACTCTAAGGAGATTATTTTGTGAAATATAATGTATGGCAGCTATGTTTTATAACAACCTAGATCCAAACTATATGCAAGACATTGTTTTTGAGAGTCTACTTTGGGATAAGTATACACTGAGTCTTTCAGGGGACTGAAAAAATTAACAACAACAATAACAACCATCAGATAAGAACAATTAAAATGACTCATGCTTCTATACTGGTCACACTGCATCAGTGCCATTCTAATACTTTCAATTATTAGTTATTTCAGTTTTATAACAACATTATGATGAAAGTTTGGGAGCTCTGGTAGCATAGTGGCTAAGACACTTGCCTGCTAAACAGATGGCTGGCGGTTCAAACCCACCAGCCACTCCTTGGAAGGACGGTTGGGCAATCCTACTTCCGTAGTGATACTGCCTCGGAAACCCAAGGAGGGGTCGCTATGAGTTGGGTTTGACTCGACAGCACATAACAACAACAACAACAATGATGAAAGTATATTATCATTGCCACTTTGGGGAGACTGAGACACAGAGAAATTAAGTAACATTTCCAAGAGTATGTAGTTAGCAGATGGCAGAACTGGGTTTCAAACCCCCATACAAACTCTGTGACCTCAAGAAACTTACAGACTGCAAGACTCTTAGGTTTCGTTTGAAAGAAAGATTACTCAGAATGTCAACAGAACATATTTTAAAAACAATTATTGGATAAAATGAAAAATTTATTAAATATAATGCTAAATATTCTTGGCTTATGCTCTGAATTGAATTGTGTCCTTCTGCCCAAAAATGTAGAAGTCCTAAACCCTGTACCTGTGAAAGTTACTCTGTTCGGAAATACCGTTTTTCTTTTATTGTGTTAATGAGGTCATACCAGAATAGAGTAGGTCCTAAGCATAATCACTTCTTATTAGTTCCATATGAAAAAAAGCAGAACACAGACACAGACAGGGGGAAGACAAACGTCACATGAAGACCTGTCAATGAGCAAAGGAACACTAAGGGTTATTGACAAAGACACCAGAAACAGGCAGATATCCACAGAAGAAACTGACATGGTCAAGACTCTGATTTGGACACTCAGGCTCCAGATCCATGAGATAATAAATTTCTATTCTTTAAAGCCACCCACTGGTGTGGTATTTTTTAGTTATGGCAGCACTATGTAATTAAGGTAGCTGGTTTGGGAGATGCGTTAAAAACAGCATCCCAGATCTTTGCAGGACATTCTGTCAGGCTAATTTTGAACATTCCCTCCTGTTCATCTTCCACATCACTCAGCTTTTTCTTGCCCCATTCTCCCTCCACCCCTAAATATTTAAACACCCTAATTGCAAATGATTTGTTCCTCCCAATATTTCATGCTTACCTACTTGCATTCGTTTCCCACGACACCTGCTATATCCAACAGAATTACGGGCCTCACAGGAATATTCTCCGCTGTCCAGCTTTGAAACAGTGTTAAATTGCTATTTGTGGAAGGAAAAATAAATACAACCTTTGAGCAAAAAAAAAAAAAAAAAGCTGTAAACAAACTCCCAAAATAACCATGCTCCTTGAATTACAGCATGAAGTTCACCTTTCCTTTTTAATGCCTTGTTGTTGTTGTTGTTTACCGTCGAGTTGGCCTCGACTCATAGTGACCCCTCCTTGGGTTTCCGAGGCAGTATCACTACAGAAGTAGATTGCCCGACCTTCCTTCCGAGGAGTGGCTGGTGGATTTGAACTGCCAGCCTTCTGGTTAGCAGTCAAGTGCCTTAGGCACTATGCTACCAGAGCTCCTTTTTAATGCCTTAGGATTTCATATTTTTATTGTGCATTCGAAAATCCATCACAACCTCAAGAAATAAATTTCTAGCCCTCATCAAGGTGGTTCTGACTCATAGGGATCCTATGGAACAAAACACTCAGGCTCCAGATTCATGAGGTAATCAATTTCTATTCTTTAAAGCCACCCACTGGTGTGGTATTTTGTAGTTATGGAACAAAACACTGCCCAGTCCAGTGCCATCCTCTCAATTGTTGCTATACTTGGGCCCACTGCTGCAGCCACTATGTCTATTCATCTCATTGAGGGTCTTTCTCTTTTTCACTGACCCTCTATTTTACCAAGCATGGTATCTTTTCCTAAGGAGTGGTGTCTCCTGATAAAATTACCAAAGTGCGAGGTATGAAGCCTTGTCATCCTTGCTTCTAGGGAGCACTCCAGTTGTTGTTCTTCTAAAACAGATTTGTTCATTATTCTGCCAGTCCATGGTATTTTCAATATTCTATGCCAGAATCATAGGAGCTATGGTGGCATAGTGCCTAAGGCATTTGACTGCTAACCAGAATGCTGGTAGTTTAAATCCACCAACCACTCCTAGGAAGGAAGCTTGGGCAATCTACTTCTGTAGTGATACCACCTCAGAAACTCAGGGAGGGGTCACTAGGAGTTGGATCCTCCTCTACAGCAGTGAGTTTGGGTTTTCAGTATGTCAATATCATAATACAAATGTGTTAATTCTTCTTCAGTCATCTTCTTCTTCTTCTAATTGTGCTTTGGGTGCAAATTTACAAAGCATATTTGTTTTACATTCAACAGTTCACGCACATTTGATTTCACGGCCCTGATTACAATGCCCGGTCATAAAAATCTCTCCTCCCCTCTCCTTCCTGTGATCCCTGTGCCCTTCTTACCTATGCATTCCTGTCTGTCCAGGTTTCCCTCTATGTGAATGCTACCCCTCTTATGTCTCATAGTTGACTGATCTAAACAGTGCATCTCTCTAGAGTAGGTGTTCTGCATGTAGGTCTTTCTACTGTTGGGCTGAGAGCCAATTCACAGAAGTGAGTCCATTTCTAGGTCTGAAGGATAACCTGGTGCCATAGTCTTGGGGTTTCCACCAATCTCTATCTGATCAGTAATTCTGGTAATTTTTGTGCTTTTAAATTTTGTTCTACATTTTTCCTCCCACTCTAACTAGGGTCCTCAATTTTGATCCCTTCAAAAGTGGTTGGCATTGGTAGCTAGGCACCATCTAGGTCTTCTAGTCTCGGGGTCGTGAAGGCTGAGGTTCTTGTGGTCCACCATATCTTAGGACTAATTGTTTCCAAATGACTTTGGTTTTCTTCATTCTTCTTTGCTCCAGATGAGAGGAGACCAATAGTTGCATCTTAGATGGCTGCTCAAAAGCTTTTAAAATCCCAGTCACTACTCACCAAAATAGGATGTAGAAAAAGATTTTTATGTACCATGTTGTACCAATTGAGCATAATGTCCCCCAAGATTATGTATGGTCTGAGCCTACAGGACCGGTGATTCTCTCTCTCAAGGTGTTCAGTTGTCTCTAAGAAGCTACTCCAACCCAATTCCATTACTAGGAATATATCTTAAAGGGGTGAAAGACAGGACATGAATAGACATATGCACACCCATATTCACCACAACACAATTCACTATAGCAAAGAGATGGAAACAACCTAAATGTTCATCAACTTATGAATAGATAACCAAACTATGGTATAGTCACACAATGGAATACTATGCAACATTAAAAAATAATGAAGAATACACAAACCATCTCACAATGAAGATGAATTCTTCAGTCTTCCTTATGCTTTCATATGCATATGCACTTTTCCTTACGCTTCCGTTTTCAGCTTTCATATGAGGTGACTGAAAATACCATGGCTTGGGTGATGTGTACCTGAGTCTTTTTTTTTTGTGATGATGGTGGTGGTAATTGTGATGGTGATGGTGGTGAAGGTTTTAATAATATTGTGGTGATGGTGGTAATGAATACAATGGTGGTGGTGACAATTGTGATGGTGGTGATGACAGCATTGGTCATGGTGGTGATGGTCATGGTGATCATGGTGAAGGTTTTAATGATGATGTGCTGATAGTGGTGATGGTAATGGTGGTGGTGATGGCAATGATGGTGGTAATGAAGATGGTGGTGGTGGTGGTGAAGGTTTTAATAATGATATGGTGGTGATGGTGGTGATGGTCATGGTGGTGACAGTTGTGATGGTGGTGATGACACATTGGTCATGGTGGTGATGGTGATGGTGTTGAAGGTTTTAATGATGATGTGCAGATGGTGGTGATGATAATGGTGGTGGTGATGGCAATGATGGTGATAGTGATGTTGGTGGGGTGACAATTGTGTTGGTGATGACAGCATTGGTCGTGGTGGTGATGGGTGCACCTGAGTCTTCAAGATGACATCTTTGCTCTTTAACACTTTAAAGAGGTCTTTTACAGCAATATACTCAATGCAATACGTTGTTTCTTTTCTTGACTGCTGCTTCCATGGGTGTTGATTGTGGATCCAAGGAAAACGAAACCCTTGACAACTTCAATCTTTTCCGCATTTATCATGATATTGCTTACTCGTCCAGTTGTGTGACTTTTTGTTTTACATTGGGGTATAATCTAGACTGAAGGTTGTATGTAGTCTTTGATCTTCATCAGTACGTGCTTCAAATTCTCCTCACTTTCAGCAAGCAAGGTTGTATCATCTGCATATCATAGGTTGTTAATATGTCTGCCTCAAATCTTGACATCACATTCTTCTTCATATAGCATACAGATTAATAAGTATGGTGAAAGGACACAACCCTCATGCACTCCCTTCCTGATTTTAAACCATGCAGCATCCCCTTGTTCTATTCAAACGACAGCCTCCTAGTCTATGTATAGGTTCCTCATGAGCATAATTAAGGGTTCTGGAATTCCCATTCTTCACAATGTTATCCATAATTTGTTTTGATCCACACAGTCAAATGCCTTTGCTTAGCCAATAAAATACAGTTAAACATCTTTCTGGTATTCTCTGCTTTCAGCCAAGATCCATCTGATATCAGCAATGATATCCCTTGTTCCATGTCCTCTTATGAATCTGGCTTAAATTTCTGGCTGCTTCCTGTTGATGTATGTTGCACCTATTTTTGAATTATTTGCAGCCAAGTTTTACTTGTTTGTGATATTAATTATATTGTTCAATAACTTCTATATTTTCTTCTTTTGTATTTTGTTAGATCACCTTTCTCTGGAATGAGCACAAATATGGATCTCTTACCATCTGCTGGCCAGGTAGCTATTTTCCAAATTTCTTGCCATAGATGAGTGAGTGCTTCCAGCATTGCATCCATTTGTTGAAACATTTCATTTGGTAAGCTGAATTCTTGGAGGCTTGTTTTTTAGCAGTCATCAGTGCAGATGGAACTTCTTCCTTAACACTAGAGGTTCTTGATCATATACTACCTTCTGAAATGGCTGACTGTTGGTCATTTCTTTTTGGTACAATGACTCTGTGTACTTCTTCCATCTTCTTTCAATGCTTCCTTTATCGCTCAATATTTTGCCCATAAACCAAAAATCAAAACCAAACCCATTGCCATCAAGTTGACTGTGACTCATAGTGACCCCCATTGGGTTTCTGAGGCAGTAAATCTTTACAGAAGTAGATTGCCCAGTCTTGCTTCCATGGAGCGGCTGATGGATTTGAACCACAAACCTTCTGGTTAGCATTAAGATGCCTTAGCCACTGTGCTACCAGAGGCTCCAATTACTGCAGCTCAAAGCTTGAATTTTTTTTTTCAATTTTTTCAGTTTGATAAATGACTATCATGTTTTTCCCTTTTTGTTTTCTAACTCCAGGTCATTTCACATTTCTTTGTAATACTTTATTTTGTCTTCTTAAGCCATCCTTTGAAATCTTCTGTCCAATTACTTTACTTCATCATTTCTTCCATTCATTTTTGCTGCTCTATGTTCAAGAGCAAGTTTCAGAGTCTCTTTTGCATCTATTTTGACTTCTTCATCTCTCCCATCTTTTTAATGAACTTTTGCTTTCTTTAAATATGATACTGTTCCACAACTCATCTGATCTTTGGTCATTAGTGTTCAGTGCATCAAATCTATTCTTGAGATGATGTCTAAATTCAGGTGGCATATACTGAAGGCTATACTTTGTTTCTCATAGATTTGTTTTAATTTTCTTCAGCTTCAATTTAAATTTGCATATGAGCAAATGATGGTTTGTTTCTCAACTGTCCCCTGGCCTTGTTTTGATTAATGATATTGAGAACAGTGTCTTTCCACAGATGTACTCAATTTGATTCCTGTGTATTCCATCCAGCAAGGCCCACATGTATGTTCTTGAAAAAAGATATTTTATGTTGAAAAAAGGCCATTTATGTTGTTGAAGAGGTATTTGCAATGAATAAGTTATTCATCTTGCAAAATTCTATCATGTGATCTCTGGTGTTGTTTCTATAACCAAGGCAATATTTTCCAACTACTGATCCTTCTTTGTTTCTAACTCTTGCATTCCAATCATCAACAATTATCAATATATTTTATTGCATGTTTGATCAACTGCAGAGTGCAGAAATTTAAAAAAACTTCAATTTCTTCATCTTTGGCATTAGTAGTTGGTGTGTAAATTTGAATAAGAGTTGAATTAACTGGTCTTCCTTG